GAGCCTGGCCCCACTCTGAGGCTGGCAGTCCAGGTGCCATAGAAACATTCTTGTCTCCAAATTTCACCATGACCACCTGTCCAGACCTCAGGGCCTTAAAAGCAAAGACATAATCTCAAAGCAAGATGGTTCCCACAGGAAACATAGCAGCTGCTCTTCACATTCTCAGCTCAATAACAGGTCAGGCAAATATCAAAAATATCACAGAGGAGAGAGACTTAAAAAAACAAAAGGTTAAGTCAACATGTTTCCGTTTTACTCTTTTCTCTCAACTAAGGTCCATCAAGCACCTCATTCTCATTCTGCTTGTCTGCTTCTGGGCTGAACCTATAGCCTCATATATGTATACATGTGTACACACACACATCCGATTAATTATTAAGTGTTTTAACTTTTCCTTAAGTCAGTTAAATAGTTGTTTCATGTATTTTGGTAGAAGTTTATCGTGTGCATATGGACAACACTGACAACACAGAAACAGACTAAAGCATGTGTGTGTGTGTGCATATGTGTGTACACGTGAGTGTACGTGTGCACATGCTGGGGATGGAACCCAGGAACTTAAGGTAAATGCTGTACTGCTGAGCTATAGTCCCAGGCCAGGATTCTTCATTTGCCTATTTTAATATTGTTCCCTCCTTCAGAGAGCCAGTTCTTTAATCACTTGTTTATCATCACTCTGAACAAATGTTAGCTAGACAATCCTAAATTTGAAAGCGTTTCAAAATAGTCCTATTAATTTAGCTCATTTCTTAATTAGATTATTGACTTCGGGGTGTAGCTCATTTTCAAATAGGGCAAAGGAAATATTTTCTATGCCTGCTGGATCTGAGGATTTTGTACTTTACCTAGCTTTCTTCGTCTTGGGGGTAATAAAGCAAAAAAGTTGGTAGTTTTTAGTAGCTTAAGCTTTTCATGTGGTCTTTGGTAAAAGTCTTCTCAAAGTGGCAAAAAAAAAATTGAGGGGTTGAGGGGGTAGCTCAGTGGTAGAGCACTCACCTAGCACATGCAAGGCCCTGGGTTCAATCCTCAGCACCACATAAAAATAAATAAATAAAGGTATTAAAAATAAATAAAATAAAATGACTCCTTAGTAAGATTTTGCCAGTTTTGCAAGCATTTGTACCTTCCAGGGCCAAATACCTATACCTAACACATGTGAAAATGGACATTAACTGGAAAGCAGGAGTACTCAGATGGTTAGCAATTAGGTACCACTTTTATTTTGGATTTTAGATGTCTCAGAGATAAAAGCCTAAGCCAATTAGGATGTGTTGGTGGCAAGTGACCTGGTGACTTTTAAGTGCTCAACTGCCAGAAACTGGCTTTGGCTCTAGAACCCCTCGGCCAATTTAACCAATGACTTTTCCCAGCTCAGTGTATAAAAAAGGGAGAGGGATAGAATCCACATATCTGCAGATTCTGAGCAGTTGTTCATACCTCCTGCAATATGGCCATCACTGCTGATTACCTTTAAGACTAATTTTTGCCATTGACTCAACTACCACAAACCAAAAGAGAAGACCTCTCTCACTATGCAGGCTAATCCAGGTACCCCAGATGGCAAAAGGAATGCAACACCCAATTCAAAAAGCAGAATCTGGCCCAAGAGGGATTGACTTAGACCTTCAGTGCTCCATGAGGAAGATAGGAGACAATGGAGTCAGCAGTACCTCTTCAGCTATGTTCTGAAAGGGGTCTTGGGAGTTACCAAGCAGCCTCCTTCAGATTCCTTCACAGGATCACCAGATCACGTTATTACTGAAACATGCCCATTCCCTGTGTAAAAGCTTTTACTGCCTGACTCATCATCAGGACAAAAATCCCAATTCCTTAATGTGAGTTGTGTGCTCCTGCTTGCTCTGGCCTCCTTCTCACCACCCCTTTCCTGCCTCCATGCAGACCATCCACTTCAGCCTCACAATACATCCAAGTGCTTCATGTTCCAGGCAGTTTTGGTGGCAAGGAATGGAGCCCCCACTTGTTACCTCAGGTCAAGAGATGCCCCTGTGGTGGGCCACCAGTCTGGCATTTGCTCTTAATACCTGGCCAGGTTCCTTCAAACTTCTGTTGCTTCACAGATTACATATAGTCCACCACGTCCTAATTTATCCTCTTTCCCTTTTATTCCCCGCAAGGAATTAATTTCCCCCACTTCAGGTTCCCAAAAGAATTAGTTGCCACAGCAGATCCTTTTGAATTTAGTCATAGGTTACCAGTACCCACCTCAGCCAGCAAAGTGAGTGATACAGATGTGGATGTTCTCATTAGTATGAGGCAACAGAGGGCGGCACCAGAGACATGCCTTACCTGGGAAATGTCTGCTCACCTTAAGCTGCTGCTCAAGGATCATCACTTCTGAGTCTCAGACCAACCCATTGCTATTCTGCATTTTTCCTTTAGAGACCTTCCCCAACTCAGGAAACCCAGGTCCATCATCAGAAAGTGGGTGGCCTGGGTTCTTTCCTTCCATCTTTACATGTTCCTCAAAGTTTGCCAGGCTGCTGAAATTCTTATTGAAATTTTTTAGTCACCAGTTCTATAGCATAGCTTCCACCTAGGCCTTGGCTATAGGTTTTGGTGGAGGATGAAGGCCAGGCTTGGGACAATGCTCAGTCCCCCCTGGTTATGAAAACCTCCAGGAGTCTGTTATCTGATATGTCCAACATCTGCTTTTGTGTGTTATTTTTAAACCTTTATTTTATGTGGTGCTGAGGATCAAACCCAGTTTCTCACAGGTACTAGGCAAGTGCTCTGCCACTGAGCTACAGCCACAGCTGCTTCTTTAATAATTATACTCCTTGGCTTTTTAGGAGAGGGAGGGGGGAGAGTGAGTGTGTGTATGTGTGTAAGCATTCCCTGGGTGCTCTGCTAAGTTCTTTACATATATCACATTATCTTATGTCTCTTCACAACAATCCCCCAGGGATAGATACTTAACCCATGTAATAGGTTGGGAAGTTGAATAATTGTCTAAACTCATGTCACCTGAAGGAGGAGGAAGCATGATATAAATCCCCACTTTCATCATAAGTGACTCTTTGAAATACTGCTCTTGGTTTCTGCAACACTCTTTCCTGGTTTTCCACTGTGCAATCCTCGGTGTTCCTCTTATGCCAGCCCTTCTCCACTCACTTTTTCATGGTACACATTTCTCTACCTCCATCTTTTAAATTCCATTCTTCCCCATGGGCACTTGGATGTCCATAAGGACCTCATTGGAGCTCTGCTGTATCCAGCCCATCTTTGCTTTTCTTTATGAATCCCTATTTTGAGGAATGGCACTACTTTCTACCTGTCGCTCATGCCTACATCCTTTACTCCCTGCTTCCCAACTATTAACTTCTTCCATGATATATCTTGGGTCTAACCTTGTTCACTCCACTGCCCATTCCCTATCTTACTTTTGCAATACTTCTCTATAGTTTCCCCTTCTCTCTAGCTTAGTACCTCCCTTTCCAAAATCTACCTCCTAATCTCAAGCCACATGGAACTATTGAAAAGACTTGTGCTCTTTGGCTTCTGTGCCTCTACACATGATGTTTCCTTGCCCTTAAATGCTTATGTCTTCTCCCCCTGGATAACCCCCATTATCCTTCATAGCTCTGCTCAGAAATCACCTGCTCAACTGCCCCTCCTGGGTACTACTCTCCTCATAGCTAACAGCAGACAATTTACTCTCATTTCCACTAGACTACAAGCTCTGGAGGACAGGGACTGCCCTTTACTATGGGTACTCAGATGACACTTTTGAACATGACACTGAGAGGCAGCACTCCAGAGTGGTTAAGAGCATATTCTAAAGCCCAAATGCCTGGAAGTACATCCTGGCTCCACCATTTACCAGCTGTGACCTTGGGTGAGTGGCTTGACCTGTCCCAATTTTCTCATCTAGAAAAGAGAGATAACATACACCTATTTCAAAGGGTGTCTGTGAAATGTAAATGAGTTAATATAAAGTGCCTAGAACAGAGCCTGGCAAACAGTGAGGATTTCTGTATGTAAGAATAGCTCAGATTCTGGGCCGTAAAATAAATAAATAAATAAAAAACACCTGTCTTGGTACACTTGAAACTGAAAATATTCAAGTATTTAATAATGATTTATTTTTATGTGGTGCTGAGGATCTAACCCAGTACCTCACATGCTAGGCAAGTGCTCTGCCACTGGGCCCTGGCCCCAGCCCCAGCCATCTATAGCTTTTTTGGTACTGTTCTTCTCTTAACGCTGGGTATATATAAATTAAGCTTGCTCTCAAAGCTTAACTTCATGGTGGGCCAGCAGGTGGGCATTATCTTGTCCACAGGAGGCTGGGACCTGAAGTGTAAAGAGAACCTGGTGGATACCCTTGCAAAGCTTTAAGCTTTTCTGTAGGTGGGGGTGAAGGATATGGAATTAACAGGATTTTCCAAAGAGTAGAACTATGACTTCATGTTTATATGCAGATAAAAATGTGTATCAGCACATTGAAGTTTCCTTAGGAAATTATGAAACCTGTTTATTCTCAAGCTGTTCTTTACCACGGAACCCCTTTTCCTTTTTTGGGCTGCCTAATTAGGAACAGTTCTTAACACTGTTTTTAATATAATTTGAATTGTAAATGATGGTCTGGTCTCAAACATAGCTCTTGATCACAAACCCTCAATTGCCTTTGTTTTCTTCATTTCATGGCAAGGTTCCTTCCAACTGAGCTCAGGGTGTTAAGAAGTAGAAGTAGAAGTAGGCTGATGCTACTGTGTATGAGCAGTCTAGGGCAACCTATCATTTTTGGCATATAGTCAATTCAATTTTAACCAAACAGTATGTCAACTGGAATATCTTAAAGAGGCAGAATCAATCATGAGAATCTGTTTTGAGAATGAAGTTTAAAAACAGAAGTTTCATAACTGTTTATGAACGAACCTGTCACCAAACTCTAACATCCCATACCTTCCCTTAAGAGGTCCCACTAAAGAAATGAACACACATACATACACACAAAAGCAAAGGAGCGCTAATTATACAAGAGGCACTGATCCTTGCTTTATTCACGTAGTAATATCCAACATTGGGAATTGTGTGGGTATAGATACAAAAAAAGGAAAATGGGATCATAAACAATAGTTGGGTTCATCATGGCAGTGATGACAGCTCAACCAGTGTGTGGTTCCCCCAGGACCTACTTGCTTGAGGGAGGGGAGGCCTCCCTCTACCACTACACAGCCAAGGTACTTTGACAACACTTGGCCTATACTTTAAAATTAGGGGTCACAGTGATTTAATACAGCATGGTCGAGACACTCGGGGTCAAGTAACTGCTCCTGGCCACTTAGTAGGAACAGCCTGGCAATAAGAAATCGAGTACTGTGTATGCCTTATCCTTAGCAGATTGGGGCAAGGAAGATCACAGCAGAGACCCATGAGATAGCCTTCTCCCTGTGCATCAACAGAGAAACCCTTCGAGCTAAGTCCTCAGGAGGCAGAACTGGAGGTACCCCATCAGCAGCAGCATATCTTGGTTTCTCATGGTCCCATTTAAAAGTTACTTTATTACAGAAAATAGAAAAGCTTTTGTGGTTGGCCTTTTTGAGACCCAGAACACTAAGTGAGGGATGGAGGGGAGAAGCTTCCTCTAGCACCACCATTTAGACTCAGAAGAGTTCTCTACTGCATATACCACACCACTTCCTTGCCAACACAGATACCCAACTAATGTGCCAGTTACAAGACAGATTTATAGGCCATTAAGGAAGAAAATTCTGAGGGAGGGTACTTAGCACCTTATATTTCCCTCATGTGGTAAAGTTGGAGGAGGACCTAGCAGTGAGGTAGCAGCAACAACCCTCACATAAAGAAAAGAATTGAATTTTACAGTCATTCCCTGGACATTGAAAATAAGCAGTATTTGTCCTAGATCTCATGCTCCAACCACCCTCTCATGGGAAGCCATGTCACGTTAGCCTTGTATCTCCAAAGAAGCTGAGAAGGAAAATGGCTTCCCAGCTGAATGAAATGCCTTACAGCATCCAGTTTCTCAGAACAAAGATCCAGAGAGCTCACCAGAGCCCAGGCACAAACTGTTTTGTTTCTGTTGAATTCACCAAGTACATTTTTTTATAGAAGAGAAAACTGAAGGACAAACCAAATTGAAAGAATCACTGTTATAATAACTTTAATTTATCTTGCATTTTACAGAAGTCTATGAACGATTTTAAAAAAGCACCTCCTTACCCCATCATGTCTGACAGTTGTTAAAGTAGGCAATGAGTATGTCAACAGCTTGAGCATCGGCATCCTGCAAGGATTTCAGATCAACCAACCACTCACCAAAGAACTTGGCAGCTTTTCTATCTTGTTTTTAATATAATGGTATATCCACTCTGATGGTAAACCTGTCCAGCCAAATCTCCACAACACACTTTGCAAAATCAGTGGTGATTAGCAAATTAGTTAGCTTTGGCACGGAGCTGTGCTCGCTTGCCCGTGACAGCCTGGAAGCCGGTTTTGATACTAGCAACAGAGCATCGAGAATGACAGGTTTCACACTGTAAGAAATAGAGCCGGGTGTCCTTCTGCAGGATGGTGTCCGGTGATCGGCATGTGTGGCATGTGACATATTCCTCTGCAGGAAAAGCAACACATAGCATTACTGGTAGCCACCCTGAAACAGAGGTTGCTCTCCTCTGCATTTACATTGCATCTACGTTGGACTCAATAAGCCTAGACTCAGACTGCAATTTAATTGTGCACCCAGACAGGGAAGCTTAACTGAATTTCAGCTATTGGGGCAGCAATCAGAAAACACAAGTTGTCTTCTGTAATGTCCTGGCACTACATGGGTTGGGCGATGGGGGGATTCTTTAAAAAAAAAAAAAAAAAGATTCTAAATTCTTCATCCTGAGGAAAAAAGGATGAAGCTGAGTTTGAAGAGATAAGATGAAGCTGCCTCTTCTTGCTTCCGTCTACACTACAGACCCCATACCTTCCTACATGGAAACAGGCATGCCATAGCAATTTTAAGTAATTAGTAAGGTCACAAAAGCAGGCCAAGCCTAGCCTGAATCGTAGGCAGATTTCGCCTTCAGCTCCAGAATCAACCAGCAGGCTCAATCAGCTGGGCCTTAGGAAATTCAAGTCCTTTTCCCTTGTGCCCCTGTCCAACTTTCCCTTTACAATCATTTCCCCGCTGGTCTTTTAAAAGACTGCTTTTCCAGGCTCATTACAAACAAAAGGCTCTCCCAAAACACAGCAGCCTGATGAGAAGTTTAGAGTGATGTAATAAAATTAAGTTACACACTTACTTATATATCTTCTCAAGACATTTTCTATTTGTTTCTGTTGGAATCTTCCTTTGATTACAAGTTGGTTATTTCCATCTATAGATCCACTATGAAAAACAAAAATAGCTATATTATTTTTATTTTTCCCTCAAAGAATCAAATTCTAACATCTTTATATTTCATCAATTTAAAATATATTCAGGGTTAGGGATGTAACTCAGTTGATTTAGCACCTGCCTGCCTGTCATGTGCAAGGTCCTGGGTTTGATCCCCAGCAACACACACATACACACAAACACACACACGCGCGCGCGCGTTTATGTGGTGCTGAGGATCAAACCCAGTGCCTCACACATGGTAGGTGAGTGTTCTACCTCTGAGCCACAACCCCAGCCCTTAAATTTTATTTTTAATCAAGTCATCAAAGCCTGATGACCCACCTATCTTCCCTAACATTAAATCTAATTTTAACCAATTACTTCTGCAGGGACAACAATCAGATTCATAACTAATTTTAATTAATAACTGAATTATTAATTGCATTTATGAGCCCATTCATCAAATAAAGGAAATCAAACTTTTACTGAATGCACAGCACATGCAAAGCAATGTGAGCTATAAATATAAAAATATGAAAAGGATTACATGTATTTTTAAAAATTCTAAGTTGCATGTGGTGGTATCCACCTGTAATCTCAGTTATTCAGGAGGGTGAGTTAGGAGGATCACTTGAGCCCAGGAGTCCAGGGTCAACCTGGACAACATTGTGGGATCTCATTACACAAAAAATATAAATAAAATACAAAATAGGGATGGAGAAGTGGCTCAATGGTTGAGTGCCCCTGAGTTAAGTCCCTGGTACCCTTCTCCCTCCCCAAATTACAAATCAATAAAACAACAATTCAGTTAAAGAGTTAAGTTTATATTTGTTCTGTATCTTATCATAAAACTGACTTTTACAAGAACATTTCCTATGATTCTTCTTTAACTATAAGGGTTTAATATCACACTCCATGAACTATAATCTTTAATTTCTAGGCTATGGTGACTCCAATGTAGGCATATTTTTTTCATGCACTGTTAAAAGAAATAGAATTTTCTCAAACCCTAAGATATTTAACCCAACTACCACAAGTTCACCTCTACAAAAATGCTAATTATTCTGAGTAGAAAAAACACTGTCACACTTTTTTTTCTGCTTAAAAATAAACAATGATTGTATTGAATTTTTTAAAAAACTACAATTCTATAACAGAGCTTACTTATCTATCATGGTCAATAAATTAGTTCTTAACCCCACAGCAAGTATAGCAAACTCCACTTGTGATTTTTTTAGAGAGTAAAAGCACGAAACACCTTATTTATCTCTGTGCTGACAGTAAGGCACAGGCAATTAAGCCCTTGAAGAACTCAAGCTCCAGAAACAAGTAAGATCCAAGTTTGCATCTTGACTGTGCCACTAACTAGCCACAGGAACCACCACTTCACTAAATCTGTTTCCAAATCTGAGCACTGGTATTATTTTCTACTTTATAGAAACATTGTAAAGATTGAGATTGTAACCAAAAAGCACTGCACAACAGGTGCTCCACGTGTGTCATCATTATTATAAATGAAGTCTACATTATCTATTTTAAAGGGACATTTGGCTTCCTGAACTTATAGTAATTAAACTCATTGGCCTGGGCTCCATGAGATCCTGGCCTCTTTGAATGGGGATGGACTGGCTCAGTGCCTTCAATAGATGAACCCTACAATCAATACAATTGATTGTAGGGTTTATCTACTTCCCTGAAATAGCTACTGAACTCAAATCCTTACTTCAATGGTTTCTCCTATGCTACTCATTACCTTACAAACTATTTCTCCAATACCCTGTTGTCAATTTAGAAAAAAAGTTCTGACTCAAGAAAATGGGTTCCTCTGAAATCTAATATGTGCTCCACAAAAAAGACCGAGAGTTCCAATTAGTGACAGGGAAGTCTAAACATGGGAGTACTTGTGCTTTCAGTTTGGTATATCAGTGGGCCTGATCAGATGAGCCAGTCAACTCTGTACCCTGTTTTTTTTTTTTTAGCTGTTGATAGACCTTTATTTTATTTATTTATTTATATGTGGTACTAAGAATTGAATCCAGTGCCTCACACATGCCAGGCAAGTGCGCTACCACTGAGCCCCAGCCAAGCTCTTCCATAGAAATGAAGTGGTTTCACTTCTCTACAGCTCTAAAAGTTCTGGATATCAGGTAAATGTTATTTCTGAGCACATTACATATCTTTTTAAGTAGAGAAGTTCTTATGAAATGTCTGGTAGTACATAAATATGAATACAATTTCTTACCTTGTACCCAATTCTGCCAATAAAAATGCAAGGAGATGTTTGGGCTGACGATGTAATCTAAAAAGAAAATCAAATAAATGAACTGTAGCTTTCATGGAAATCTAAAAAAAACTAAACTTCTAAAAAGCCACCCTGTTCAGAATTTCAATTTGTTATTACTCAGCTTTTAGCTGAATTTCAGGACATAGTTCATTTAAACTTTGAAATAAAAATATATACTATATGATAAGACTTTTTTTCAATAGTTCAATACTTATAATAACATTATTATTAACATTATTATTCTATTTCCATAGAAAAACATGGATAGGAACAAGAACTTTTGAGGATAGTATCTTCCTCTGGGAAGGAAGAAGAAAGGAATCAAAATGATACAAAGGCCTTAATTGTAAAACTATCTATCATCTATCTATCTATCTATCTATTTATTTATTGGTACTGAAGATTGAACTCAAGGGCACTCAACCACTGAGCCACACCCCCAGCCCTACTTTATATTAGAGAGGGTCTCACTGAGTTGCTCAGCGCTTCACGGTTGCTGAGGTTGGGTCTGAACTCGAAATCCTCCTGTTTCAGCCTCCCGAGCCATAGGGATTAGAGGTGTGCGCCACCGTGCCCAGCTGTAAAACTTCTCTTGGAAGAAGTAAAAAGAAGGGCTGGGGCTGTAGCTCAGTGGTAGAGCACCTACCTCACATGTGTGAGACACTGGGTTTGAACCTCAGCACCACATAAAAATAAAGATATTGTATCCATCTACAACAACAACAACAACAAAGAAGCAAAAAGATCTGAAGCAAATGTATCAAAAGGTTAAAATATACCAAACCTAGATGATGGCTATTTAGATGTTTGTTATGCCAATTCCTGTTTCTTGTTTGAAGCTGTTCTTTAAAAATAAAAAGAAACTATATATACATGTAGGCATGTCAGGGTAGCACAACAGCACAAAAACAAACTGCTTAAATATTTACCAATATGAAATATTTGTATCATAAATGTATATATGATACATTTATTCAATGGTGTACCATCCTGCTTTTAGAACAAGATAGGTCTCTTTTTTTCCCTAAAGTACACAGATAACAGGCAGAGCAATGCCACTCACTACTTTCACCTTTTAAATCTATACACTTGGTATCATTTAAATGTGTTTTAATAAGCAGACAAGTAAGGGAATATTTTCCCAAAAGGTAATGGGTGAGAGTTGGTGAAAATATAATAAAACAGATGAACTTCTATGTTGTTAGTGGGAGTACAAATACTTAAAAGCTTGCTGGAATGCATTTGCCAATGCTTGCCATTAAAATATCCATTTTTTTAAATTCAGGAATTCCACTTTGGGAATTTTTGATCTAAGACTCTGTTCTGAACTACTGCAAAAACACATGTCTAAAGATGTCCATGAACATCTTTGTTCCCTGAAGCTTTGCCTCCAACAATATAAATCTGAGAGCAACAATGTCCAACTTAAGAACTATGAGAATATTTTGTGAAGGTATTTAAAACACAGGAATGCTATTTAATGACATAAGCAAAAGTTTTAAAACTACTGGAAAAACCAGGTTAAATCAGTATGATACCAATATATTTAAAGATATGTGCATTAAACTATGGTGATCCATCTCAATGGTGAACTTTGAATGAGTTTTCATTTTCTTTAGAGTGTCTTTATTTTCTAATAAGTATATAGTACTATTGTTTTAACAAAGAAGTCTAAAAAGTAATGCCTGTAAGTAACGAAAACAAGTGGTTATCTTTTTACTGCAGCAAGCATGTATATCTCTTATGTAGAAGAACAATGAAAGGCATTGCTGAGGAGCTCTGAGAAAAACAAGGCCCAAAAATGTCACCTGTGACACTGGCATAGAATGTGATGGTATTAAGAAAGTAGAAATCTCAACTGGCAAAGACCATCCAAGGAAGAGGCATATCATATTGAGCCACTTTTCAGAGCTCACTATTGGCTTGATAGGCCCAGCCCCACCTAACTTTTTACCTCCCTAGACTCCTGTCTGAGAACTACATTCAGGCCCCTCACTCCTCATTCCATCTGTTTAGGACCCATTCTCATAGACTAGTATGTATGAATTGACTTCTTTCATCATCACCACAAAAATGAACCCCGAAACCTATGATTTGAAACTTGATGGACCTACATTGTGATCCCCCTCAACCTAATCCCTACACCTGTGCATTTTATTTTTTACCTGCAATAAACCCGCAATAAGGATATTTAACATCCTGAAAAATTCACTGAAAATCTGGTATTTGGATGGAGGGTCTCCATTAACCAACTTACAGTTTACAGATATCTGTAAAGTTGACAAAAGAAGTTTTCTTGGTTCCTACTCGGACAACCTGTGGAGGTTTCATAACAAATTTTCTTTTTTCTCCAGCAACCATATCTGGATTCTTTTCCCTCATGATGTTGAACACTCGATTCAGTAGCTATAGGGATAAAGTGGTATTCAAGCACATTCTTAGTAATAGCAGGGGTATAAAATTCACATTTGAGTCACTGCTTTAATGGAGCATATTTCTTTACTTTTCTTGTGTGTGCACCCTCTGTTTATTGAGATATAACTGATAAATAAAACTGTACATACTTATGGTATACAATGTGATGATTTGCTATATATTGTAAAATGATTACCCTAGTCAAGTTAGTTAAAATATCCATCACCTCACTTACTTTCCTCTTCCCACTCACCCATGAAAGAACACTTAGAACCTACTCTTAGCAAAATCAAGTTAACATCACAATATGATTAACTAAAGTCATCATGCTTTACATTAGATCTCTAGACATTATTATAATTAAAGGTATTTACCCCTTTGCCAACACCTCTCCATTTCACCCATCCTCCAACCCTGCCAACCACCTTTCTATTATTTCTACGAGTTTGATTTTTTTTTTAATTTCACATATAAGGGAGATCATGCAGTATGTGTCTTTCTATATCTGACCTATTTCAGTGAGCATATTTCCTCCAAGTTCATCCACATTGTCACAGATGGACATATTTCACTTTTTACTAAATATACACAAACATCACTAAATGTTCTAGAAGCTCCCTGAAGGCAGGAACTCATCACCAACCAGGATCTATCTGTCCCAATAAAGATGGTGAGTGATTCCATTACAGATAGTGATTCTTTCTTGTCCAAAGTAAACGCACACAACTAATTCTGCTATGTTTAAAGAAAAGTATATGATCTGTGGAAGATTCAAGCAACTCCAGACTACCCTGGTTCCAAATTAGTCATTCTGTCACCAATGCCACTCTAATCCTCAGGCTCCATACCTCAGAAGTCCCTGAACACAGATGGGAATAGTGAGTATTACAATGACTGTCACATTCTAGGCAGGCTGCCCACAAGTAGGCATCAGAAAATGCTATGAACTGGCTGTGACCTCTCTGCCTCTGTTTTACCATCAACCTGTATCTCAAGGGCCCTTCCAATTTGAGGATCATTTACCTTGTTTTTCTTTGTGTGCACGGTTTGGTGGAGTCAATCTGGGCACTCTACCACTAAACCACATCCTCAGCCCTTTTTACTTTTATTTTTGAGACAGGATCTTTTTCATTTGCCAAGTATTTAAAATACTGAGGAGTATTTTAAATAAGTTTCTGTGAGGACTCCAACTTGTGATCTTCCTGCCTCAGCTTCCCAAGTTACTGAGATTATAGGTGTGCACCACTGTGACCAGCTATCATGTTTTTAAGTTCTAGTGAACAGCTTAGCCCCTTCTTGTAAGAGAATTTGTCTTACCTCCTCATAGGTGTAGTCTCTTTCTGAGCCTGCCCAAGCAGGACCTGTCTGGTTACTGAATGAGATCCCATCATCTTTTTTGCTATCTTCATCTTCTACAGCTACAGATAACAAAGATTGTAAGAATGGGGGTGGATTCTATTATACCAACAGAGGGGGAGGGGGCTTCAAAGACATTTGTGGTCCCTTTCACTAAGGCATTCATTCATGACAGCCGTAAGCATAAAGAGACCAAGGATCACAAACAATCCCCTTTCCCTTAAAGGCAAGGATGTTATGAAATGCATAAGACCCTTAATATATATATTAATGTTAACACATGGTGAAATGTTTCTTGACTTAACAAATACAACGAAATAATTGCTAGAATAATTGCTAGCTATAAATAATTAGAAGGAAAAGAGTTTAATTTTGAAAGCATTTAAGAAACTTCCACATCCATAAAAACCCATCTGATGACTATATGAAAAATTCTCTAAAAACTATAGTATTTAAAAACTGATAAAACTGAACTTTAAAAGAAGTCCCCTAGCCCCAATCAAGGAGATGAAGAGCCAAGCGTCAAGCCTAGAAGAGATGTTGAGTCCCCAATATTACCTTCATCTTTCTCTAATATTTCATCCTCATCTGGGAACTTGACATTCTTCTTTTTCTTCTTTTTATTGCCAAGCATAATATCAAGATCATCCTCTGGTTCAGCTGGCTCTTGAACATCACTTTCAATCTTAAGATCCTAAGAAATTGAGAAAAGTCTCAACATTTTGATACTAGGGCAATAGTTTTTAATTAAAAAGACAGTGGCCTACCATCATTTTAGAGCAAAAACAATCAAATATTCAAAGCTAAAGTTACAGATAAGAAATACCTCTCACAAGTGGGAAAAACCGGCTCAGGGATTATCATTAAAACCATAAATTTCTCAAAATATTTTGTGGGATCTTTTCCCTCCTCTTTTTTATTCTTCAGGCTTGGGATCTTATTATTCATGTTTCCAAAACAGGCTACTATCAGAACCATCTGGTTCTGATAAAAAATTAAAGAAAATTCTTTAATCTTCTGACAATCTTTAGTGGAAAAGGACTGAGGGTTTTTTTTAATAAGTTTCTGACTAAATATGATGCAGTTAGTGGGTAATTCTCCTGCTGAAACCAAATACGTGATGTTTTTCCACAACAATTCTCTAATATCAACTAGACATCCTCCAATTAAATTTTGATACTATCTGGAGTTACTGTCAGACTCCAAAGGTTTAAAGGCTCAGTTTCATAGTTTATCAATTCTCACTCCAGATGGTAGTAACAAGTATCAGGTTCCCAAAGTTACCCACACTGACTTGTCTACAAATTCAGAGGTTCCCACAATGCCTTCCCCAAATTCAATCATTTGCTAAAATGACACACAGAACTCAAAAAAAGTGCTTTATTTACCAGTTTTATTACAAGGGATACAACTTAAAAAAAAAAAAAAAAAGCCAAAGGGAAGCAATCCATAGGGACAAAATGTGGGGAGATGGGAACATGGCAGGTGTCAAGGAGGGCATGTCTCTAGGCATGCCACCCTCCCAGCACTTCAATGAGGTCACCAACCTGGAAGTTCTCTGAACTCCATTACTTAAAGTTTCATTAAAAATGTGTAATTTACTAAATCAATGGCCACTGGCAAGCCAAAAGAACTCAATCTCTAGACCTTCCATCCTCAGAAGTGGCAGGGGTCAAGGAAAGTTCCAATCCTCTAATCATGGCTTGATCTGCCTGATGACCAGCCCCTATCTCAAGCTATCTAGGGGCCTCCTAGTAATCAGTCTTTTCATTAGCATACGAAAGATATTTATCATTTTGAAGACTGCCAACAGTTAAAAGACAAATATCTCTTTTATTACACCACTTCAGCTTGGCAACAGGCTGGAGAAGTCCTTAATCAGCATTTCTATAGATGACATCACGAAAGAGGGAAAGATAGACCCCCCCACCCACAGGGAATTAGGATCTTATGATGAATGGATGCAGACAAGGTACAGCTTGACCAAGATTAGCTGCTATAGGTATGGATGTTAAATAGGGCATGTTAGAGATGAATCATAAACACCTCAGGAAAAAAAAAGGGCCTACCTCAGTCTCCAGCCTTTTAATTACTTCCTCTTCTCACCAGCTTACCCAACTCCTATTCCAAGTATACTGTCAACATTAGCCACAATTCTATTTTTTGTGTACCTATACTCTGAACTACTATGACAATGCTATGGTAATTTCAGAAACCTTATCAGCAGAAAAGTTGGAAGAGATGAGTAAACAAAATTCAGACTTGGGATCCCAAATCCAGTTCTGTAATCTGGTGTCACACTAATCAACCCATTGTATTAGCTAGGTATACTAAAACAGGAAACTAGATATTGATCTAGTCTCTAAGATGACAGTAAATGAGAAATGTAGAAATTTGAATTTAAATTAGCACATACTGGCTAGCTTTTAGTCCTATGCTCCTATTGACTTAATCCTAATAATTAGATCTACCTCTAAACTAAGGCCAAGAAACAGTAAGAGGCAGACACAAGCAAAAATTGTTTTTCAGGTGGTTCAAAAGTCCTGGAATGGTCAGAAAATTCAGGTGGGAGCGTAACTTATGACCTCAAAAACATTTCAGCTTCAAGATCGATATCCATGCCTTTCTTGCTTCATGACCAGGATACCTGTAACATCTTCCTAAGGTTATGACTTCAATAACAGAGAAAAAAATGTATCCAAGCACTTACAAGTGGAGCTTATTAGTGACTCTTGAGGACAAAAGCTACTAGAAGTAACAAATATGCCCACTCATGTCCCAAGGGCATTTCATGACTCAAAGAATAAACTGCTTTAACAGCCTATGAAGCATTTTGTCCTTCCATCTGTAATGACCCAGTTTTTATTAAAGTTGGACACATTATTGACGTGAATAACAAAATATAATCCATACAGAACATGAGAGAAAAAAAAAAGAATCAACTAACAAAACTTTGTTAATTTCTGTGGCACATCTCTGATGTTTCATCTTGTTATCAGGATATTAAAACCCAATTTGTTCAGTACAATATGAGCATTTCTCTTTCTCAATTCCCCTGCAGTAATAGAAGGAAATGAGACTCTCCAAACAGGGAGATAAAAAGTCAAATCCAGGTAAAAATCATCTTGTTCTAAAGGATTCTAAATTATCCCTGAACTTGGGGCTGGGGATGTGGCTCAAGCGGTAGCACGCTCGCCTGGCATGCGTGCGCCCGGGTTCGATCCTCAGCACCACATACAAACAAAGATGTTGTGTCTGCCGAGAACTAAAAAATAAATAAATAAATAAATTATCCCTGAACTAAAATGAATCTGAAAATAGAAAAAAACTTATTACCAACAATGCCTGATTCACTGTAAACACTAATATGCATTTGCTTAATTAACAGCCATCAAAATTAAGACATTATTTCCAAAACTCAATGGATTATGATATAAATACCCGACACATGTGAAATTATTTACTTATATTTCAGCAAATTAACTATTTACTAAAGAAAAGTTTCAGTAGAAGGCACAAAATGGGATTCTTGGTGTGTCTTTATGTGCATACGTGTTTTTACTCTTTTCTTTCTGAATACACACACACACACATTAAAACTGCTATATGCTGGGGTGTATAAAATAGATGTGTGGGCTCTGCTAAAGTGATTTCTCTAAAAGTTCTTTAAAGTAGTAGTTCTAGGGAGGGAAAGAACAGACATTCAGTTCTTTCCTCATTTATCCACCCTCTTATTCACCTACCTACCCACCTATGTATCTGATTCCTGTTCAAAAAATTTTTCATGTATTTGAACTAGAAACCAATTCAGTAGTGGCAAGACAATCATGAGGTCTCAAGTCCCTACAAAATCAAAGAATTCCACAGAAGTAGCCTCAGTGTTCTGGTTTTCCTACAGGATACACTATCAACAGCTACTAAACACTGAAGCCTGGGAACTATTCTTTACTGCTACCAAAAGTTTAAACAAAAAAAAAACCCCACAGGAATATGTGCTCCATAAGATTTCTCACTTAGATAAATCTCTCTTCATCCAAACAATCTCAGTATGGTTAAAGACAGGGACACTTCATGATCATCTCAATGATACACAATATAATATTAAGACCTAAATTTACATTCCTAGAATAATCTTTAAAATATGTAGTCATGCCAGGTACAGTGGTGTACACCTGTAATTCTAGTAACTTGGAAGGTTGAGGAAGTTTGAGGAGAGCCTCAGCAACTTAGCACAGCTCTAAGGAACTTAGTGAGAGCCTGTCTCAAAGTTTAAAAAAAAAAAAAAAAAAGCCTGGGAAAATAGCACAGGGGTCAAAGGCCCCCGGGGTAAAAACCCCCCAACCAAAAAAAAAAAAAAAAGTCAGAGATACAAGAAAATGACCTTAACAGTGGTGATTAAGTGCTTAACAACTATAAAGCAAAGCTGCTAAGAGATAAGACAATGAGTGAGAAACAGCCATTTAGCAACCTTTCAAGAGGTCAAATTTTACCTTCAACAAGAAAGCAATACTACCTTTACACCTTCTTCAGCTTCATCAATATCAAATATCTTTTTTGTTTTTTTCTTCTTTTTCTTTTGATTAAAGAAGTTCAAATCATCTAGATCATCGGAAGCATCTATAAAAGACAGATTGAGCATCAAATTAAGAGTTACACATTCCAACTATTAACTAAGTCACCAGAAAAGAGAGATCAGATATATTAATTAGTACAGTAGACCTTCCACAAAAGTAAAGGTTGTGGTACTAAAAAGCACAATGACAGGTCAACTCCAAGCTTTCTAGCAAAGAATCTGGTTAGGGGACATTTTAAGCATATTTATTTAGTAATCTCTGACCATATCATTCTTGTTTCCAAAACAAAGTCACAGCTCTCACACAACTTCCAAGACCCTTCACCTTTATTTCTTCACTTCTACCTAGCCCTGTACCCCACCTTCCACACCTCAACCCCTGCTCCAGGCCTATAGAACTTCTTCCAATTCCTAGTGCAATGTATGTGTAGTCTCACCTTCAAGCATTCCCATGAGCCCTCTCATATAGCAATTTGTTCCATCTCACCACCTTGATTAGGAGCTACTTCTACCAAGAAGTCTTCTCTAAGCCTGTAACTGGGTTAGGTATTCTCAGGATACTTGGGCATACTGAGGTAATTACTACAAGCTTGCTTTACCTGTCTCCCTTCTAGATACTAAGAGGATAAACCTTGTCCAACTAAATCCCAGTGCCTACCTCAACATTTTATTGAACTAATCAATCATTGAAAGGTCTTATATAAATAACTTCACATTTAATTAAAATAAGGCTGTACAACAAATATGAATATTGATGAAACTATCGTTAATGAGCAAGAATAGGTTCTGTTCAGAAAGTTTTCTATTTGCTCTGCCATTTTGTGTATTTAGGATCCCTCTACTACAAAGTTTTTCAAAGAACTATTTATGAATTCATTTTATCTTATTAAAACAGAAATGATTTACTTTCTAAAGTTGGTTTCAAACATGTACAAAACAGCACAAGGTATTTGCTCAATGATTATCAGTTCTCTCTACTCTAGGAATCTTATATTTGATACAAACTATATTTACTGAATCATTTATTTCTAATAGTCAAATTGTTTCTATGTTAGAGTACTACCATGAGTGAAAAAATAAAGCTAGTACTTAACCCCAAACATTTCAGACTAATTAATATTTTATATGCATTTTCAGATTTGCAAAAAAAAAAATGGCCGGGGGGGGGGGGGGGGTGCTGGGGTTGTGGCTCCATGGTAGAGCACTCGCCTTGCATGTGTGAGGCACTGGGTTTGATCCTCAGCACCACATATAAATTATAAGTTATTGTGTCCATCTACAACTGAAAAAAAATTATTAAAAAAAAAAATATTCAAAAAACACCTATCCTTGATTCTATTCCTTTCTGCTCATACTCAAATACAATCCCATTAAAGCTGGAAAACCAGCTCCAGAAGGATGAAGTGTCATCATCTTTGCACTTGTGAATTCAGTGGGAATTTCCTGCAAAAAACCCATCATGTATCTGGTAAGGCTCAATGAACAGACTGCTAATGGCCTTAACTTTAATGGGCTCCCAGCACAATAGTGACTCTGACATCAACCACTTACCTTTTTTCCTACTGTCTTCTTCATCAGCTTCCACATCTTTATCCTCAGTTGGTTCTGGTTCCACTTCTTTTGTTTCAGAGGGCTGGGTTTCTTCTGTCTGGGCATCCCCTTCCTCATCTAACATAAAGGGCTTCTTCTTCTTCTTTTTCTTCTTACTCATTGTAGGATCAAAAATCATCTGTTTAAAAAACAATAAAGAATAAAAAGAGACCAAGTGATTATTTCTTAATGATGCTTTATCCTCAAAAGGCAAACTCTTAAAGGTAAAAGGTATGAAAAAATAAAACTGTCCATCCAACCTTCCTTGTACTACTAAATATGGAGTGCAGGGAGAGGGAGTGTCTGAAACATGTGCACATGCCTTTCAATCTGTAAGGTACCTATCATAAGATAAAGGAACTTCACTTTTAATTTCATAAGCAAATTTGGACATCCTGAATGAATCATGGAATTAAGGGAAGGAACTTTAGCAACAAGCTATGGTTAGACGTCCCTCATTCATAAATGAGAAAATCAATACCTTGGAAAGTTTAGTTCATCTTATTGATAACCTGGAGTGGCTATATGTGGAGACTAGATCTTGATTTTTTTAAAAAATTTATTCTGAAGTCCAGACAAACCTTAAATTTTAAGAAAATCCATCAGCAAATCAGTAAATCTCTGAGAAATTTCCTTAGAAGTTTTTACACTGCTTTTTGTTTGTGGAATACGAAAAATTTGCTTATATTATTTTTATCTAAATGTTCACCATACAGTAAGTAGAAAAGTAATTTCTAACTTGTAGACTGCACTGATTACTTGAAAAGTTATTTTAGATGTAATAGTTTACACATACAGGGTAGGCACCTGACAGAGCAGAAAGAGCAAAGTCTTTAAGTCAAACAGAATTAGATTCAAATCCAAGTATTTTTTCCCCTGAGCTCCTTACCAATCTTTGCCCACTGATCTGCTGTGTTGTAGACTGTGTAGTGATCAGAAACAAATCTGGAGCACAACTGCCTGGATTTAAATCCAGACTCTGGCTCATACCTGTGTCACCTCATGCCTCATGTGTAAAATGGAGATAAGCTGAACTAAAACCAAACCTGACAAGGTTACTGCAAGCATCCAATAAGCAAACATAAAGCCCTTACATTATGATTTATATAATGCTTTACAGTTCACAAAACATGGTATCTGATTCCTATCACTGAAACATCCTCAACTCAGGTGATCTAATTTGCCAGATGTATCATGAAGCTCTCAAAACTTCCCCAAACTGATTATAATTAATTTAATTTTCTTTTTATGTCCCAAGCACATTAAGGAAACTAAGCTATAGTCTATAATAAGGTAGGGTAGCTACTGTCCTCATCTAGTAGAGAAGTATACACAAGGCATTATGGAAATTTTTATAGTAACATTTCAAAGTTATTCTCTAGAATCCAACTGTGTAAATGAGTAATTCTGAAATGCAGTCAGTTGGAAGAACATTAACTGAGAAACTTAAAGAAGCATTCCTTCCAGGATAGATGAGTCAGGAAAAGGAATCCCCACTATTGACCTATAGTGGACCTTGGGTCATCCTACATGGAATACTGCAATCTGTACAGGGGTAGGTACAGTTCATCATCATTCCTGAAATAGGGAGACTTGGCAAAAGAACAGACAGCACTCCAGACACTATAAATCTGGTTTTGGCAAAGTTTATAATCCATTCATTGCAATTTTTTTTCATGCTTCAGGTTCCCTGGAATATTAACTGCCTTTTAATTATTATTATTCAGCAAGCCAGACAAAAGATAGAAGGGATCCTGAAACCTCCCAGAAGCCTTCTTAGCCCAGGAAAAAATTCTTATTTAAGTCTACAGGTAAACAGACTATGGCCCTATCAAAGGTAATAAACATTTGGGAATCATATGCTGAAATAATTAACATCTCTCTCAATTACTACCTCTGGATACTTAATACTTATGTACTTAACATACTCAATGCCTCATTTCATTCACACAACCCTGCAAAGTAGCTTACAAATAAGGAAACCAGGGATTCTGAAGTAGCAACCAAAGCAGGACTCACCAAAACATAAGGCCATGTCAGTTTTGACAAAGATCATGGCTTAAGGCTTTTATATCTGACTTTCAAATTATTGATTACATTCCAGAGGTTTTGTTTATGAGGCTAGTTTGGGTTTGAGAAGCAAATAGTTACTAAGTCTACAATGAAGCCTTCAAAAGCATAAAATTTCCATTTTCAACTTATCTTTGTTGGGTTGGAGAAGGCAAGAAAAGAGAATACCAGCTAAAATTACCCTGATTACAGCCTGAAGTGCTTCATCAAATTGTCTCCAGCATACCTTACAAAGAAATCAACTTTTTTGTCCATACTACACCCAGAAGGCATGTATATTCTCAAAAGAACTCGCAAAGAAAGGTATTGATCTGAAGTTCCTTTCAGGGCTGAAATGCTAACAGCATTTTTCATCTCCAGGTGACAGGATTCTGGGAAATTTTTATTTCTTGTATTCTTCTGTGTTTTATAAACTTCATTTGCATAACACACATTCTATTTTTAATCAGAAACTTTTTTTAATTTAAAACTTATTTTGGAAAAACACCTTAGCATATTGTGAAAACCCAATGTTCTGACACCTTGTGACTAGTGTCTAGTATTAAGCAAGTCTAAGAAGACATTAACAGTGCTTAAAAACAAAAAACTCTATGCTGGGCGTGGCAGTGCACCCCTGTAATCCCAGCAATCTGGGAGGCTGAGGCAGGAGGATTCCAAGTTGAAAGCCAGCCTCAGCAATTTAGTGAAGTCCTAAGCAACTCAGCAAGTTCCTGTCTCAAAATAAAAAGAGCTGGGGATGTGGTTCACTGGTTAAGTACCCCTGGGTTCAATCCCCCATACCAAAAAAAAAAAAGATTCTGAGTGCCTGCAAATTAGGGGATTTTTTTTTTCCCTTATCAAGTAACACATTTCTAGGTCATTGCTTTTTCATAGTTCCACTAGGTTAAAAAGGATCATGTTTTGATGATCTTTTTGGCTTAATTACAAGGTTTAAAAAGTAACATGTGCCGTTTATGGCAATTATATTTCAATGAGCCATTTAAAGTAAAAAGAAACTATAGAAAGTTACTGATAGTTTATAAGTCATTTCCAAGTGCACGTTTTCATTTGGTCTTCACAAGTCTGTAAAGCGGTCAGAAAGGACTTTTCTAATAATTATCTTGTTAATAACACTACATGAACCAGAATCTACACCCCATTCTTCAGACCTCTCTTCACCAGTTAACTTCCACCTGACAGAGGTTCTAGGTTCTAGTCCCACTAACTTGGCGCATGACCTAAGGCAAGTTAACCTCCTTGGGCCTACTCTCCTATCTATAAAATGAAGTAGTACTGGTAAGTCTAGGAAGTGCCAAGCTGCATATACTATATCAGCTTCCAAAGTCCACTGCTGGAATGCTGATTCTGCTACCTATGCTGAACAAAATCTTGTTCATCCTTCAGTTATGTATTCAAATTCCACTTCTTTCAAAAAACCTGATCTTGGGCTGGGGATGTGGCTCAAGTGGTAGCGCGCTTGCCTAGCATATGTGAGGCACTGGGTTTGATTCTCAGCACCACATAAAAATAAAAAATAAAAATATTGTGAAATCTAAAACTAAAAATTAAATATTAAAAAAAACCTGATCCTATTACAAAAATGATCCTGCCAGCACTCCCAAATTGTTATGTTGATGGGCCTATATCTACTTCTTATGACAATTTCTATCTTTCATTACAGCTATCTTACTATTGTATCTCTTCTACCTTGCATTACAGCTATATCCCTTATGACAGTATGAGTACTTTATCACTGAAACCATACCCACAATTCCCCACAGCACATTGCTCTACATAAGTACTACAGTTGCTAAACATTATGAAAATTTGAAACAGTAGAAGAAATAAAATAAGTGTGAAACACCACCTCTCAGTAATACAGTAACTGAGAGCCATGTTTACCATGACCTCCAAGCCAGAACCATCTACCTCCTTCAGACTGTTTCTCTAAGCCTGATTCCTATCACCTAGATGAAAGCAGCATTTTGGAATTCTACTCCTGGCTCGGGAGCTGAGAATCTGATCAGTAGGCATTATACAACTGTGAACCTCGGTTTTTCATCTGTAAAATGGGCAGAATAGGACCAATTTTACAGGGTTATCCTGAGACCCAAATGAGAACGAAGTCCCCTCTAGAATTACAAATTTCTTAACTTGAAAGTACTGAATGAACTAGCCACTACCTATTTTTCAAGTCTTCATTGCTTAACTCTAACCAAACTGGAGAACACTCCACTCTGTGTAAGCACTCTTACTTGCTATTTGCCTTGTCCTATAAATCAAGCCTTCCCACTGCTGGAGAAAATTCTAAGCATCGTTCAGGGTCTACTCAAAAGCCAACACTAGTTTAGAGAACCTCGAATTCTTCCTCATCATCCCTTCCAAGGCCCTCTAGACAGAAAAAAACTACAAATTCTTCATACTTTTTTTTTTTTTTTGACACGGGGTGTAGTTTTGGTGGGGGCACTCTACCTCCTGTGTTCAGCAATATCGAGTGAGAGCTCTTTTAACACCAATTTCATTTTAAGTCGTTTGATTTTACATGAACTAGCATAAATAGCGGGGGTGGGGTGGGGATTTGAGATCCAAGCACGACTGGAGAAAGGGGCTCAGTCAGCTTCGCAGCCCGGACTTCTCGCTCAGATCGCTATGAGCCCTGTTAAAGGAAGCTCGGGGACACCCGCCCGGAAACTTTCCGAGAAGGCTGCTCACTTTTTGAAGCCGAAGGGTCTTCTCCTCGAATCCTAACTTCCTTACCCCCTCGTCTTTTTAAGAATAACGCTCGAGAGGAAAACAAGGGCGGGATACCTGCCTGGAAAAACTCGACTACAAACTTTTTAACTACAGTGTTCCATCGGAGCCGAGGGAGGCTCCTCGGGGCGCCCAGAGAAGCGAGCTGATCAGTGCCCAGCGGAAACGAGTGAAGGAGTCGCCAGCCCCAATCTCGTTCAGTCGGGGCATCAGTCCCTTCAGGACAGGCGCCCCAACGCGTGCTCTCCACTCCCGGAACGCCGACCCCAGGAAGAAGCCGGCCCCGGCGCTGTGGCTCTGAGGAGAGCCGGGAGCGGCCAAGCATGCGGATCCAGAATCCTCGCCGGCTCCACCGCTCCGGGCTGCCTAGGCCCGGGTGCCCCACATGGCGGCGGCCGGCCGCTAGGCCGCAGGCCCGGTTTCCCCCACTGGGTGGGTAAGGCTTCCTGCCTTATCCTTAGCCCTAGCGCCGGGCTCAGGCGCTCACCTCGTCCCCGGACATGGCTGCGGTTCGAGCGGGCTCGGCACGAACGAGAAGTCAGACGGGTCAGCCCCTGGCCTCGGCGGCAGCGCTGCTCCTACCGACACCTCTCCCAGCACCGCACTAGGCTCTTGCATCAGCGAAAGGGAACGACACCCCGCCCTCCTCCCAAACGTTGGAAGTGCGCCTGCGCAGAGCTCGCCGAGGCGCAGGCGCGCGGAAGAGCCCACCCAGTGCGCTTCATGTGGCGCGAGTAACCAGGGGACGCTGCGGCGCGGGCATGCTGGGACTTGTAGTTCTTCTGGAAGAGGCAGCCGCCTTGCAATCGGTGCGCGGAGTCTGAGCGAGCCCAGCCTAGGGATTCGGTTTCTTGTTGTGACTATTGCCTGAGCCTTTCGGAGAGTTCGGTATTGTTCGTAGAGCTATCCTAGTCTGCTTATAGAGTGAATTGGGGGCCATTTCTCCTGAGATAGGCAGGTAGGTGAGACAGTAATATGAAACCGGCGTGCTGTTTCCCCCTGTCCCTGAGGTATTCTAGTATTTGAGGAATTCTAAGTCGGAACTGGAGATGCGCGCCTCACTAGAAGGTTTTACTTCGTGAGACATTTAACGTATTAACTTTTTACTTGGAAGACAGGAAACCGAAAGCCTTCTCCCCCTGTCTCTCCAGAGGTGGCCTGAGGAAAGAAGGCATTCCCTGAGGAGAAACGGACCGGCGAGAGAGGCTCCGGAAGCCTCAAAACAGCCATGCCTCGCTTAATGACAGATACATGTTGAGAAGTGTGTGATTCGGCAATTTCCTCGTCGTGGAACATCATCACACAACGAAATGGGCTACAATGTCCCTGTGGGACCACCACCGTGTGTCTTGTCGGTCCTGGACAGAAACTTCGTTAGGTGGCGCAGGACTGTACTTGTTTATGAAGTCGCCGCTTGACTGCACAGGGTGCACCTGCAGTTCCCTTTGGGGCATAATAGTTAACTAACGTTTAGGGTGATCTCACTCTGTCGGTGCTCTCCAGATCACCCAGAACTCCTCTGGGGCTGGACAAATTGGGTTTATTGACTCCTTGCAAGGAGGGAGGCACCTGTAGGAAACAGCAGGACATCTCAGGGACAGTGTTAGAAAGGATTTACAGTTTGGGCTTCTCAGGTAATTTGTGGTAGAGTTCAGGAGGCTGGGCTTCTCTCCGAATCGGATGTTTATCAGAAGGTGGGTGTAATTCTGTGACTGGGTATTTTAATAATTCTTCCATAAAAAGGGAGAAGATCCGAGTGAGACTAAAGCTCTGATTGGTGAAGAAGCAATACTCCTTCATATGACAGATGATAAGGGAATATTTAGTCATTTTTTGTGGTTGAAACAAGGCTTTTTTGTTTGTATTCAAATATGATTACAGAGTGGGGGTTTTTTGTTTTGTTTTGTTTGGATTCATTGTGATCATAGAGTAGCCTTGTCAGATGTTGGTGTTCCGTGAAATTATTTAATTCAACAGGTCAGCATATGCTAGGTGATGGTGCCAGCCTACTCCCCAACCCCACTATCAGGGGCTGCTTTTTCCTCATTATGTTCCATATTATGTAATATATGATCTCTGCTTTAGTTTCAAAACAACTGGTGTTTGATAATCAAACATTTAGTATAAATATTTAGCACTCCCCACTGTATACTTATCTCTAATCTAAGCACAGCTGGTTCTTGCCTCCAAGTACCTACTAGTTTAGTGAGATGGATATTTTACTAACCCTTTTTTTCAGATTAGGAAACTGCTTTTGTTGCATTGAATAATTAGTTTAAAGTCATATACAGTCAGCAAAACAGGAAATCTGGGAATCCAAGTCCAGACAATCTGATACTGGTAACTGTCCCTTTATCACTTTAAGAATATGAATTCCTAAGGACCCTAAATTGCTGCCACTAAATCTCAGTTATCATCTTCAGCTACTGATATCTGTACATATCATAATTTCTCAACAGCAGTGCTATTGACATTTTGGACCAACAATTCTGTATTATGGGGTCATGGTCTATGCACTGTAGGACATTTGGCTGCATCTGTGGCTTCTATTCATGGATTCTAATAGGATCTCCCTCTACTAATAGCAACCAAAAAATACCTCCACGGGCTGGGGATGTGGCTCAAGCGGTAGCGCGCTCGCCTGGCATGCGTGTGGCCCGGGTTCGATCCTCAGCACCACATACCAACAAAGATGTTGTGTCCGCCAATAACTGAAAAATAAATATTAAAATTCTCTCTTCTCTCTCTCTCTCTCTTAAAAAAAAAAAATACCTCCACGCATTGCCAAGTGTCCCCTGAAGGACAAAGTCATCTATGGTTGAGAAGCACTGGCATATGCCTTTTATCTCTTCCTGGGTCTTTGAAATAAAACAAACATTTGAGACCTGACAGTCCCCAAATAACTTTGAATGGGGAGGCCTTGAAGAGGAGACGAGGACACTGTGTACTAAGTTCTTGAAAAGTCCGTTCTAGGAAAATGAAGACAGAGAAGGGAAAAACAAATCAAGTGGAAAATGCAAAGGGAGAACTGAGAAGGGTTAAAGATGGAGAAAAGGAACTCGAGGAATGTAGCCTTACTTCACTCAGTTCACATTAGCAAAGTTATTTCACACTAACAAAAACACACTAAGGGAGTCCTATTTGGAAAATGCTGGTATACTTAGCAAAGAGTCTTGATCAATTTGTGAAAGTATTTCTTTTTCTTTACAGCATGGTACCAGCTATAACCTCCTTGAACTGGCTACTTGAAAGAAGTCTTCCTTCAGCGATATCACTTCTTCTAAGGTAGTAGTTTATGTTCCAGGAAAAGTCAAGATTTCCTAGTGAGCTGGCCATTGTCACAAAGCTATGATAGCTAAGTTTTTTTCAGGTTTTCTAAGAGCTAGATTCTACTCAGCATTATCACAAACAATCACTTTTATTTTCATAACTTCTTTCATGTAGGAATTTTTACAAAGCATGGTATGATGTTTATTAATTTTCATCTCATACCTGTGAAGGAAATCATTTTGAGTTTCCTGTTTTATAGATACAGAAGCCAAAATATGGAGTCCACAAAAAATAGTGATAAATCTGGAAACAGCCTACAGGGATCTTCACTCTGGATCATTCTTTATGTTTAGCACCACCCCAGATCTTCAACTACCTAATAGTAAGCTAAAGATGATAATACTTCAATTGAATGCTAAATTATGTTTAAAGCCAATATTTTATTGGCTTTAAAATATTCCATAGTCTCTTCATTTGACCTATAAAATAGCAGGCCTATAGAGACTTTGACTTAAAACAATAGTGACAGTACTTGAACTAGTACCCAGATCTCATGATTCTTAGTCTAGTATACTTTTCACTTGGTAATACTTAGCTTACAGAAAAAATAATTAAGACAGAAACTCTAATACACATAGTAATACACATAATAACTCTAATACACATAGTAATACACAAAACTCTAATACACATACCAGACTTATCCAACCATTTGAGTACTTCATTACATAGGGGTCTTAAAAAGTTAGTTTTAGGGCTGGGTCTGGGGCTCAGCAGTAGAGCACTTGTCTAGCACGTGCAAGGCCCTGGGTTCGATCCTCAGCACCACATCTAAATAAATAAAATAAAGGTATTGTGTCCAGCTACAACTAAAATATATATATATATTTTAAAAAGTTAGCTTTAGTGAGGAAAAGAAAGTCATAGTAGGGTTGGTGTTGTGGCTCAGTGGTAGAGCACTTGACTAGCATGTGTGAGGCACTGGGTTCGATTCTCAGAACCACATATAAATAAATAAATAGAATAAAGGTCCGTTGACAACTAAAAAGTATTTTAAAAAAGACATAGTATTTATTAATGAAAAGCAACTAGTAACTACAAAATTAAATTTATATTTGGGTTGATGTAGTAGACTTCAGAAGGTGCAGTGAGTCTTCCCCTAAAGAAGTCTTGCATAGGGTTAGCCTTTGAGAAATAGATTAGTAGGAATAAATTCTTAATTATCAAATTTAGTAATATGTGAAAATGATAAAATTGTCTTTAAAAGTGTGTCACTGAGGAGATTCAGGAATCACCAATTCTAAGAAAGTTGCCCAGGAAATACTATATTTCATAGCATCATTATGTTAATAATTCCCAAATCTGTATTTCCAATCCAGACCTCTCCTCTGAGTTCTAGCCGCACATAATGCCTAGTTTGAATTTGGTTGTCTTACAGAGGTTTAAAAAGAATTTTATTATTTTCCACATTAAATTTTCCTCACATCAGTTAATGGCAATGTTCTCTGCTCAGTTGCTTGTATTAGAAATCCAGGAGTTACCCTCAATTCTTTCCTTTCCTTTACCTTTGTCCTCTTTCCTTTCCTTTACCTTTGTCCTCCAATCCATTATCGAGTATTAATAAATCTGAAATTCAAACAACTTATCTCTGTCTTCAATACTACTAGCCTAATCTAAGTGATTGTCATATTTTTCTTGGATACTGTAATATTTTCCTTTTGTCCCTTCACAACACTTATCACAGTTTGTTTAATTTACTGATCTGCTATTTACTTGTGATTTTCTTAATCTTATATTACTACTAGACTATACAGAAATTCTTTGAGAATAGGTACAGAGTCTGTCTTGTTCACTCTAATAATCCCAGCATCTAGCAGAGGACCTAGCTCATCATAGGAAATTAATAAATACTTTAGAATATTTGTTGAATTAATCAATGAAAATTTAATAGTCCAGAATTATAGCATGATTCTTATAGTGAAATAGTTGAAATTGAGGCCTTTATTTAATCAAACCTGGTAAAATTGACTGAAACTACCTACCATAATTAAAATCAATTGTATTATAGTATATTTGAAAGTGTGTGTTGAAATTAAAACTATACACCTGGAATCCAGAAAGAGAGGAAACACTAAGGATTTGGTCATGTTTTCCATCCAGCATGTTCAGGATTGAGAAATTATGAACCCAAAGAATATTGTTAAGTTAGTTATTAGAGAGGTACACTTATTCTAGAGCATAGATCATTTCTTATGCTTTACCTGTGACCTGAATTAAATAGACCTTAATAACATCAACCTCCTTTTTTCTGATCATTCCCAAGTAGTGTTTTGATTATCAACTTAGATTCCTTGGTACCTTCATACTGGGAAAGAAATGAT